ATTCTGGCATATTTAATTGAAACTGAGCTCAACCTCCCCTCGAGGGAGGATCTTACTTGCTTCCTTTAGCTCAGGCTAGTGGGAGATACGAAAGGCCAAGTGGACGGAAATTGCATTTACGGCAGTACAATATGTTTCCGGTACTAACGAGTTAGTGAGTTTAGACCACCTATCATCATCCAGCTAAATAAAACTGCTGGTTGTGGTGGTCCTCTCCCAGCTCGCCGCTTCCCCGGGGTCCGGGGTGGCGCGGCTTATATTTTTTGGCCCGCCCACCACCCTCCTTCGGCACAAATGAAGCACCCGCCCTGCCCTACCCTCCTCCATCCCCGCTGAGGTGGCTGCGCCATCCAAGCGCGGTCCGTCGGCCTTCATTCTGGCATATTTAATTGAAACTGAGCTCAACCTCCCCTCGAGGGAGGGCTCCCCTCGAGGGAGGATCTTACTTGCTTCCTTTAGCTCAGGCTAGTGGGAGATACGAAAGGCCAAGTGGACGGAAATATATTGTACTGCCGTAAATGCAATTTCCTCACAAGAACTATTCCGTATCTATGAGTTATGCGTACCTCTTCAAATACATCATCATTGGCGACACTGGGGTTGGCAAAAGTTGCCTGCTGCTCCAGTTCACCGATAAGCGTTTTCAGGCCATCCATGAGTTGACGATCGGAGTGGAGGTAAGATTCTCCCTTGCCGCACAACCTCACACACACAATTTGTAGTTTGGAGCGCGAATGGTTGCGATAGATGAGAGGCAGATAAAACTCCAAATTTGGGATACCGCGGGCCAGGAGTCCTTCAGATCTATAACAAGATCATACTACCGCGGCGCCGCTGGAGCCTTGCTCGTGTACGACATAACGAGGCGGGAGACATTTAATCATTTGACACGCTGGCTCGAAGAGGCTCGCCAGAACTCCAATTCCAATATGGTCGTCATGCTGATCGGGAATAAATCAGACCTAGGTCATCGTCGGGCTGTTAGCACTGATGAAGGTGAAGAATTCGCGCGGAAAAATGGTTTAGTATTCATGGAGACCTCCGCGAAGACTTCTTCGAACGTAGAAAGGGCATTCATTGACACAGCGTCGACAATACATGAGAATATAACGGCTGGTGTGTTTGATGTCACGAACGAATCTCTTGGTATCAAAGTTGGTGTAGCATCATCTGAGTTACCCAACTCATCATCGACAGCCGGATCTTACGCTCACAAGAATTGCTGCTGATTCCTTCGATAATTTTTTATTTGTTCCCCAATTTTAAGTTTGATGGCAGATATATCATTGATTAGCCACGGTCCTCACACCACAGCAGAGGGCAGCAACTACAGCCAGCTTCCCCACCACACAGGCAGCGGGCGCTCTTTGAGGGCCTTTGGGGCGTGCGAAGCCAGGCCCGAACCAACGGCCGTGCTCGCGCAATGGGGGGGGGGGCATCGCACCACTATGCTGGTGTACACATTGGGCCATGGGCAACTTCCGAGTCGAGACAACTCCTGAAACCCTGGTCGCATTGAGCTACAGTCGAGTTGATCCGAGTCATCATCCGAGATCCCTAGACCACCGAGCATTGTGCCGGCGCTTCTGGCTGTGCCGCAACTCGCCCAGGCTCCGGCCCCGTCGACGCGGGGCTCGACCAGATGTGCCGGCACACCGACAGGGCCGCAACCCGCGTCCGGGGGTCGCCTTCCGCGATGCCCCAATAGCGCGGGTTCGGCCAGCGGACTCGTAGGGTAGTCCGTGGGGGCTGCTGGGGTCGTGCGCCGAGGTGGCCGGCTCGGAATCGAGGCCATGGCGTCGCCGCGCGCGCGCGAATGCGA